AAGTTCTTGTAGTAAAAATCTTTCAGGTACTAAAATTTTATATTGATTATTCCTTAAAATATATAGTACTATATTAATTATTATTTTATAATATTTAGTTTTATTACAATTAATGTACAATGTAGAAGATATATAACATAGTTATATAATCAAAATTATATCTTTTTACAATTTAAGTAACTTATATTTCTTAAAATATGATTGTACTTTATCCTTTGGGTAAGGTTTTGTTGCTAAACATGTTGGAATATTTTCAGGCTGTTCAATCCAGAGTTTATGATGGATGTTCTCATTTGTCAATGTTAAAGATAAATTATTTAAACTGGTCTCATCTGGAATCTAACATTAATATAAATATAAATATATCCATATATGAATATATTATAAATGTCACCATACTCCTTCGCTATTTTAAAAATTGTATACACAAGAGTTATGCACAATAATATGTTCAAATTGACGTCTAATATCTATAATACATATAGTTCCTGGATATACTTACTTCCAAGACAACTTTGTGCATAACATCTAAATTGGCAAGGTAGGCTTGTGTGTAATTATCATTATAAAAAAGATGAGTAACAGCAGTGCACGCATGGCATGCTTGAGCTATAACTGCGCCAATGGGCCAATCCATTGTTTTCAGAAGATCTCCTCTTACTATCACATATTGAACTAGCACGCTCATCCTAATGATGTAAAAGATATTTAATTTTCTTAGAACATTATAAAATTATAGAATATGCAAAAATTATCGTAAGGCTGATCTTGATGAATTATTAAATTTTGGACATTTGTGTCAATTGTGTCAAATTCTTTTAATTTTCTGTATACTAAATTTAATGCAATTTACAATCCTTACATAGTAAGTGCCAAAAATATATATAATTCATATAAATAAGAAAACAATAGGAAGTACTTTTAAAGTATTTATCTATTGAAATGTCTGTTTAGTATTATAATATCCAAAAGTAAAATACAAATATCATTGTAATATTCTTTTGGCGTTGTAGTTTAAATCAGATGTATTATTTATATAAATTGTTGTTATTAAAGACAAATTACTCATACAAAAATACTGTGTATAATATGTTATAATGTTTAAAACATATTTCATTTATGTAGAATACAATAACTTTGTACATTTAAAATATTTTTCATTATTATTAATATACCAAAAGATGTATGACCTGATGCAATTTTTTTATGAATAAAAGTTTAAAAAAAAATTTTGATCATCTTTACTTCTTTTAAATAAAATATGTTTTTATAATTTTATCAAAATAAATACACACATTTAAATACACCTCATTAATATATACAATAAAATATAAAATTTGAAAATTTATTCGTTTATTTAATAAAAAATCTATGTTTAGAAAAAATGCTACCTGTTTATAACACTATTATCAATTAGAAAAATACCGATTATATTATTATTTTAAAAAAAATTAATAAAAATTTTGATATACAATAATTTATGATTTAATTAAAAAAAAAATACAAAATGAATATTATATAAATTTCAATCTTTGTTCGAATATAAATAAAAAAAGAGACGAAATTTAATCATAGGAAAAATTCATTTAAAGAATTACAAGATTATAACATTAAATAAAAATGTAATAGTAATTAAAAAAATTAATACAGATCATTATTTCAATCATTACATGTAACTTCCTATATTATATTCCTATATTATTTTATCTATACATTATTCTAGAATTATTCTATCTACATTTTCTGATTACATTTATGAAATTTTTTTTTTATGTAAAATTTTATTATTTTATATGACTCAAATTTTTTTACTATACTATAATATTTATTTAAATTTTCATTTATAATATTATTTAAACATATTTTATTTTACATGAAAATTATTGTTATAATATAACTTATATTCGAGATTTTTTTTATTGTATTTTATTATTTATAATAAATATTGTTTTTTAAAATACAATTTGTTTTTATTCAAATCTTTCTATGTATAATATATTAATCAATTAATTGATAATTTTATAATTTTCATTTATAAATAATAAGATATACACATTTATTAAAATCAAGAAAAATAATCTTTATCCGTTCTTCTTCTTTTTGTATAAACAATCATTAATAATACCTATCAAAAAATAAAACTGATTTTTCTCTAAAAGAACTATACTATACTATACATAGAAAAAAATATAATTTTCCAGAGGGCAGCACTGATTATAGATGGCGCATATGATGTTTTTCAGTTATAAATATTACATAGGAGGTGAATTCCATTGAACCGGTTACCATTCTCATCTTTGCAAGTGAGACTGTTGGACGAATAGTGATTCTGCATAAAATATAATTTTGTCACAAAATATAAGGTATAAATTTTATGTAGTTACATTAATTTTGAACTGAATATTTATATGCAATTAATTTTATAATATTTTTAATTTTTATCCGTTTAATATATATTTAAATATGATTATAAACGGAAATTTAAAAATTGTGAAATATTATAATAAATATAAATCTTTATATATACAAAAAATGCAAAAATTATATTTCATTATTATTAAACAGATCGAAATTATATAGAATTTTGCTTTTATTTGTTTTTAATTTTTTTTTTAAAGTTTATTCGATCTAGTTTCAGAAAGTTCTCGATGGTGCAATAACCACTCACACAAAAGAAATACCTAATATACTTACTATACATGAAAATGATTGAATAATTATTGCAAATCAATTTATTAGTTTTAGAAATAGAATTTAATTGTATTTTATAAAATTATATAAATTATAATATACTTTTTTAAAATATATTACTGATTATATGAAATATATCTTTAATAATATATAAAAAAATTTCATAATTGTAAAGGTCTTTTTAGAAAGACCATATAAATTCTTATATATCTTTTTTCACATAATAAGTATACATATATAAGATACTTTTTAGTATATCTATATGTATATATATTGAATATCGATTAAATTGTATTGATCTGTAATATAGCAAAAGCGTCTTGTAGTTTTCCTTGTTTTTTTTAATTTTAAATGAGTATTCCTAAAATTTTGTTTTATTATTTGGAATAAAGGAATGATTATCTTTTGTAATTATTCATTTGCTTTTTTCCAATTATTAATATATTATTAAATTTTATGAATTTTTTATATCATAATTTCGTATATAGAATCAATTTTTTTTCTTTTTGACATTATTTTTTTAGCAAATAAAATATAATATATGATAATGATATAGCTAACTAAAATTTATGTAACAATTTTCAGAGATATGTAAAAAGGTTAAAGATAGGATGAATAAGGTTATTTTTAGTTTTTGTAAATAAGATAAATTAAAAGATTATGAAAAAGAAATAATTGAATGAAAAATGTTAAAAGTTTAAAAAAAATTTTCACGAAAATTGAAAATCATAATTTTATAATTAAAAAAAAAAAATGATTAATTTTGCTATAAAGAAAACTTAAAAATTTATATTAATATTTTATGTTCATGCAAAAAAATATGTAAATTTTTATTATATTACAAATACCTAAGTAATTATTTAAAAGAATAATTATAAAAGATAGAGAGTAATTAAAGACATGCTTGCATTTCATTTTAAGGAAATTAAAACATTTTATAAATTATTTAGTTTTTAATGTAGAAATTTTATTATATTATTATATAAAACTACTATTGTATAAAAAATTTTTCACAAAATTAATTTATTCTAAGAAAAATTATATGTTTTAATTTTTAAAAAAATATAATAATTGCATTTTCCAAGTACAAAAATATATAAAACTATATAAATATAATACAGGAATATAAATTTAGTTTTGTCCTGTAAAATTTTTTTCTATCTCTAATTTTTTCTATCTTTTTTACTATCTATCTTTTTTTTCTATCTTTTTTGAAGTATGTAACTATGCTCAATTAAGTAGAAAATCTTATATATTGTATATATTAATCAGGCACAATATATAATGTTTTTTACATTAATAATAAATAATAATATTGATATTATTATATAATATCTGTAAATATTATAATTTTAATAAAATATTATAACCTATAACTATAATCTAAAATGGATATCTACATAAACTTCTTTTATAATGGAAAATAAAATTCTTTTCAAATTATATTCATGAAAATTTTTTTCCTATTACAGAAATACAAAACTTAATAATGCCGGTCCCAGTACTTCAAAAACCTGCACCTGCTTTTCAAGGTACTGCAGTTGTAAATGGAGAATTTAAAGATATTTCTCTTTCTGATTATAAAGGAAAATATCTTGTTCTATTCTTCTATCCATTAGACTTGTACGTATTTTAATTCATGATTTTATATGTGTGTATTTGATGATGTAATTTTTTAATTATGTATCATATGTTAAAAAATGATAATTTATTTTACAGTACATTTGTTTGCCCTACTGAAATCATTGCCTTTTCCGATCGTGCTGATGAATTTGAACAAATTGGTTGTAAACTCATTGCAGCATCAACTGATTCTCACTTCAGTCATTTAGCATGGGTAAATACACCACGTAAGCAAGGTGGTCTTGGTGAAATGAACATTCCTCTTCTTGCTGATAAAAGTTCCAAGATCGCACGTGATTATGGCGTGCTTGATGAAGAAAGTGGAATTCCATTTCGTGGTCTCTTCATCATAGATGACAAACAAAATTTACGTCAAATTACTATCAATGACTTGCCAGTTGGCAGGTAAAATTCACATAAACTAATATTTTTACATATCTAATAAATAATGTTGCTTTATTTTAATAAATTCATATATTTATAGGTCTGTTGATGAGACTTTGCGTTTAGTTCAAGCATTCCAATATACTGATAAACATGGAGAAGTATGTCCAGCTGGCTGGAAACCAGGAAAGAAAACTATGAAGCCTGATGTAGTTGCTTCTAAAGAATATTTTAAAGATACATAAGTAAAAAAAAAAGAAAGAAAAAAATTTCTATACTTTATTAAAACTGTCATTTATGTAAAATATTACATTTTTTAAAATCAATCAAAAACTTGTTCTGTAATGAACATGGTATATAATTTAAAATCTTAACACTAATTATATTTTCAATATCAACTATTTTCATTTCTTACAATAAATAAGTATCTTTCATACATTGTGTATTTTATTAATCACTCATTTAAATAATATATTTCACTATCTAGTTTTATTTTTGTTTAATGATTATAAATATACATACAATCATATTTCAAATGAAGATTGTCATTATTAACTATTGAATGGTTTTTGTTAGCAATTTAATTTTGAAAGTATGAGATTGGAAATTATTGAATTGACATCATTAATTACGGATAAAATAATGTATATACATCTTTATGGCTTCTCAATATAACAAATGGACTTATATAAATCAATATTTATCATTAAATTATAAAATATATAATGTCTAATAATTGTGAAAATGTCATTGCTAAAACAGGTTAAGAAATTTATAAAATACTTTAATTTGCCTAAAATATTATAATAATAAATTTCTAATAGAAGGGACGATAAATTTAAAACATTAATATTTATTGAATATCATGATATAATATTTACAATTATAAGTCAAAATTTGACTTTTCCATTTTAGTTTTAAATGTTAAAGTATTATTATAATCTTTCAAACGATAATTTAATATTCTAATAATTATAATGTCGTAGAAACCTAACTAGTTTTAAAATGTGTCCCTATCGTAAAAAAGATTAGGAAACTATATATGCAGTTCAACGTATGACGGGAATAATATTATTTAATATAATTCAATTACAGGATGTGGTCTCTTTCATTGTTTTATTATTGGATTATGTGGCATGTGTGCAATTGCAGAAGCCTGCGTTCTTCCGACTATTCTAATTGTAGTTCCATTCATGGCATGTGATTTAAGCCTAAGTGCAAGCCAAGCAACTGCTGTGCACGCTACGTTAACTTTAGGTACATATAGAATGTATGTACGTAGATATTTTTTTAACAATATATGACAAACTGAAATTAACCGAAATTAATAATTTATACAAAACACAATAAAAAATTATTTATAATAAAACTAATAATTAATAAGAACGTGAGATTGAACACGCCATCCTAATCATAAAAAATCATTTCAAAAAATTAAATATCAATGCTATGATAATTCAATTTAAAGTGTCGTTCTAGATGATAAAACTAGAATCAAAGAATATTTTTTTTTTTTTATACTTGATACTTCTGATTAGATCTTTATGAATAATAATTATATAAGTGAAGTATTATAAGATTCATAAAAATAACTTCTAATATTCAAACTATATTTATATTCATATTTATCCAATTAGTACTATTTTTTTCTTGGATTCACTCATCAGATTCTCTATTATTACAAGAGTCCGATAATAATAAATGAAAATGTAATTCAAATTTTCAATTCATTGAAAAAAATAGAAGGATATTTCACTGATACGCAATAAAATGATTCATCATTATTCATTCTATTGCTAGGGAATACGTAATTCGATTTCTTATCCGGAAATTATTCCTCGTTAAATTTCACTAGTCACTGATTATGAATCATTCAGGGTCGTGAGATTTCTATTCATTTCTATTCAATGGCAATTATAGTTCCGTTATTTCTAAACTTTCTAATATACTATAATAAGATTTTTACATAAAATTTTATGATAAATCAATATATATATATACATACATATTTGAAATGATTTATAGTATATTTTTTGATAATAAGATTATGTATAGGAATGGCTGTAGGAGGATTTCTGTTCGGAATAATAATCGATGCAAGTGGACGTAAGGGTTCCATTCCTGTCACTATGATCGTTGTATTTTGCGCTACTATCAGTTTATCCTTTGCGCAAACTACATTTCTGATATACATTTCAACATTTATACTTGGATTAGGGTAAGTTTATCTAATCATTCGTAAATTTTTACGAAATCCTATTCTTTCGAATATTATAATATATATTGCTTAATTTATATTTTAAATAATAATTAATGAGTCCTTAAAATAATAAAAAAAATATTATCACCTATCTTTCCTGTGCACAACACATACATTCAACATGTACGTAAGAATAACATAAAAACATTCGTCTATTTCAGATTAGCTGGTAATAATGTGGTTTTAAGAGTATATCTAATCGAATTACTGCCCATGAAACGAAGAGGCTTTTGTTTAGTTATTTTGGATGTATTAGGAGTCCTTAGTTACATATCTATTTTAGGCTAGTGTTTATAAATACGTATAGAACACGTGTATTTATCACATTACACAAAGAAGTATAAAGAAATAAAATTGAAACTATGATCAAATTCGCAGGATTGTCATGGCTGCTAATGCCCTCGATCTTACTATTCCAAAATAAAAAATTTCGACCAAATTCTTGGCGAGTCCTTACAGGATTAGGAGGTATACCAAATTTGATCATAGCGTGTGCGACTAGTCTGCTGCCGGCAAGTCCAAGATATTTGCTTTATCGACGACGCCATGAGGAAGCATTATCGATATTACGACAAATTTATGCTATTAATAATTCGAAACACGTCGATACTTTCGTACTTTCGGTACGAAATTTTCCATTTTAATCTCACATAACAATGCAAAATTGCATAACGATATTTTTTCTTATTCCAGCAAAGCAACTTGGAAAACTGTGTTCAACAAATTGAAGAGGAAGACGAAGAGACGAATAATATGATCAAAACGATACATAAATTTTGTGTCAAAACGTATAAACGTATTCGAGAAATATGTAAATCATTTAAATATACTACAATATTAGGAATCTGTACTAATTTTCTGCAATTCCCGGGGTAAAATGTCATATCATCTTTTTTTCATCTATATTAATTTTGCATTAATTTCCACAACACATTTTTTCCATATCTTTTTTTAAAATCGATTTCGAATGTAACGAGTGATTATAATTAAAATTAGGATGATGTGGGTTGCTCTCTGGAGCGTACAAATTCTTCAGCAAACGGAAAATGTACACAAATCGTCGAGGAAGGATTACGCATGCGTTATTGATATAGAAGACTTGGCGTTAGGATTTTTGCGTAATTGTCAAGAGGTAGACATGGATCGTTTTCGAATGATTTTGTATCTATCGTTGAGCTATTTGGTGGCAGAAATTTTATTGGCAATTGGGATCGATATTGTGGGTAGAAAAATATTTCTAGGTAAAATCGTCTATTAAACAACTATTAACATAGTTTCACAAAATTTTCCATTTGAATATATATTTTACATATTAATCAACAACTTCTTCCGTTGTTACAATTTTGTAAGAATTAACTTGAATTTTTTTCAGTGCTTTCGGGCCTAGTGGGAGCAACAGCATGCTTGGGCTTATTGTTTACAGTTCATAACGTAATACAACTCGTTCTTTCACTGATTATATTAGCAACTTACGTAATTGGTCGTACAACAGCGTCGATAATCTTGCTGGAAAATTATTTTACTGGCGTAAGGTTAATTATGAAACAGTTTGTGAAAAATTCATGCGTCTCTCTCTCTCTCT